GAATTTGTTCGCTCAAAACATCATCACTGACAAACATGATTTCTGTAGCAGAATTCCTTGCTACTTCCACAGGAACTTTCTTCTGCTTTTGGACTCCCTTGAATTTTGATATCTTTTTCGACAATTCCTTTTCAGAAAAGACTGTTTTTGTCCAAGTTTCCCACCTTTTTGGCTATATCCTGGTATATCGGTTAATAAAAATATGTCCTGGTGTACCAGTTAATGAAATGACATTGGTAAATTGAGTGATAGCATGACAGCTAGATAATTTGGTAAATAATGAATGCTTTGATAATAAAATGCCAGCATTGGTTGATGGTCAGGCTGTTTGGGTTAATTTGGCTGGTTGGATCTTTTGGATCATTTGGGTCATTTGGGCCAGTTGAGTCGTTTGGGTCATTCAGTTCAGTTGGATCATTTGGATCAGTTGTGTCATTTGGGCCAGTTGAGTCATTTGGATCAGTTGGGTCTTTTAGGTCACTTGGGCCAGTTGGGTCACTTGGGCCAGTTGGGTCACTTGGGCCAGTTGGGTCACTTGAGAAAGTTGGGTCCTTTGGGCCATATGCTGATAGTTTTGTAATGAAAAGTCGCTGAATTCCCACAGTGACTGATTTGTTTGATCCAGGAAACCACAAATTAAACTATATCGACCTGTTTATGAAATGCTCAGAAATTGACTTAATTTTATCTAATCGTGAGCTGAATGTAATTGAAGAAGACACTCGAAATCAGGCACAAACATCTGGTTTTTGTTACTCATAGAGCTGGCCAGATTGGAGCTTCACAAAGTCATTCTGTGTGAAATCATCAAAGTCATCTCTTGTGAAATCTATTTGTTACCCTCAACTATTCAAAGTGACAACCAAGGCCACAAAGTATGTGTGCAAAAATGAGGCTAAGGCAATTGATGCTTACACCACTGCAATTTCTGGAAGCGCACAGATTAAAGTAACCAAATGTGGAATGTTCATTGACAAGAACAGACCTTGGATGCATGCTACTCCAGACTTTTTTGTCATCTTGTGCATGTTATGGAGAAGTTAAATGTCTATATGGGTTAAAAGATGGGGACTTTAAAAGCTATGTACAAAAGAAATCATCTTGTTTAGAAATGATTGATGGTATCAAACAATTAAAGAGGAATCACCCCTACTACTATCAAACACATCAACAACTCCTAATAACTGGACAACAACATTGTGGTGTTATAGTGTGTGCATCCTTAGACACTGGACTCATATTTTTTAATAGAGAGAATTATGCCAGATCCAGGCCACTGGGAGGTTGTTGTACCAAAAATAACAAAGATGCAGAGAACATGCATTTTACCTGAACTGATGTCTAGATGGTATACAAGAAAACAATATATGCCTAATGTTCCCTCAACTGACCCAAATAGTATTTGTTATTGCAGACAGTTGTCTGATGAACTCGCACTTGACTGCAGTAATCACATCTGTATGATTAAGAAATTTCACTTCTCTTGTTTAAGGATGTCAGATCCAATACCAAAAACAAGGTATTGTCCAAGCTGTCATTTGTTACCACAATTCCAGACAAAAACAGGCAAAAAAGGCTTGTGATAGCAGTTCATATAATGATGAAGCAATGAAACTTAAAAGTGTATGTATTTTTGGCAAGAAAGCAAATATGACAGACAATCTTCTTAAGTGTCACAACAGTGACTGTAAATGTCAGATCCAATACCAAAAACAAGGTATTGTCCAAGCTGTCATTTGTTACCACAATTCCAGACAAAAACAGGCAAAAAAGGCTTGTGATAGCAGTTCATATAATGATGAAGCAATGAAACTTAAAAGTGTATGTATTTTTGACAAGAAAGCAAATATGACAGACAATCTTCTTAAGTGTCACAACAGTGACTGTAAAAATGGTAGATTCTTTCATCTTCGTTGCTTGAATTACAGAAGGGTTCCTAACAACAATCGAACCACATGGATGTGCAGGAACTGTAAAGTTAGTAGAACATACCAACCAGCAGTCCAGGGTCCTTCACAAACCTCTCAGCAAACAGAAAAGACCCCAGCTACCACCTGTTCTTCTTTTAACTTACCTCCACCACAGTCACTTAGTAAAGCAAACATTGCCCCAAAAACATTGAAAGTGATGACTCCAGTGATGATGAAGTTTAAATAACAGTCACTCAAGGATTCACTGACAAAAAGGTACCTTTAGATAATCAAACAGAAAATCACTTGGATATTATAGTGTGTCGAAATGGTTGGTTAGACTGTACCATCATTCAACAGGCTCAACTGTGTCTACAAAGGGTGAATCCCTAGATTGAAGGTTTTGAAAGGACAACACTTGGTCCAATAAAAAACTTTGACATTGTTACCATGGAATTTGTACAAATTTAAAATAGAGGAAATTGTCACAGGGTATGGGTAAGTTCAATTGGGAGATATGGTCAGTTTGTTTGACAGTCTTTATCACTGTGCTATTGAAATAGAAGTAAAAGACCAAGTTCAGAGTTTGATGGCTGACAGCTTTATTGGTATTATCAATAAACCTGTGCAGCAACAGAAAAACAGAAGTGACTGCGGCATTTTTGCTATAGGGTTTGTGACCTGCCTTGTATATGACATTCAAAAGATGCACTTCTACCTCAGTGCTTAAAAAATGAAATGATTACAATGTTTCCAAGTTTTTGAAAGGATTTTAATAATGACATTGATATAGATTTAATAATATTGTAAGATTGAGTGCTCACATTAAATGTATGAATGCAAGCATACTATCAGGAGAGATGTAAATATATGTAAATAATCTAATGTTTATATTCATTAGGATGAGATTTACCAATAAAACAACCTGCTTTAAACATTTAAACCCAGGAACAAGTTGTCAAGGTATAATAGTCCAACATCAACAGACATACGGAATACAAAATTATTAGTGACTGTTAAGGTGTGATTTCAATCTATATTTCTTAATCTCCTAGTTTTTTTTTATATATATACACCTTTTTTTTATGAGATATACTAAACATCAACTAGTAGTAATTCTAATGAAACTTGAAAATTCCACACAGATAACCACAAGTTGGATATGACATGCAAACATAGTAAACAATAAGCTCAACAATTTTTGTAGTAGACTGATTGCACTCAACCCATGATAATGTTAAAGGATTATTAGATACCAGCAAATTTTGTTTCTATATTTGTCTTCCTCTGTGTCTCAACTCAAGTATTTGATATCTACTATCATTTTTTCTTTC